CTCTCACGGAATCAAAACCAATTGTTATCGGTATTATCGGTATGTTGAACTATTAAACATAGTTCAGAGTTCAAGAACTATGTTTAATCAATGGTATGGACGGCACTAAAAATGTTCGGTTATTTTTAATTCGAAAAAAATTCCCAAAAAATTAAGTACAAGAAGACGACAAACCTGAATGGAGTAGTACTGGTACGTGGTGTTTTAGGCCTATCCGGTATTGCTGTTTCATTGTTGTCGTGCAGACTCATGTCACATGCTTCACGAACGTATGACTTAGGGAAAATTCCTGCTTGTCCATGAATATTTTTACCCTCGATCCAATTGGCATCAATATTTCGCAATAGACGCAGAATTTCGCCCTATTAATTGTCGACATATTAATTTTTCCTTTCAAATTTGATTATTACGCAATGAAAAATGAAGGAGAAAAGAGATCGCTCACTATCTTTCCAAAAAAAAATTTCTCTTGATTATAAAATGTTCTAGATAGCTCTTTGAATATGCATTGTAAGAATAAATAAATCAATCAAGTTGAAACATTAACTATTTTAACAAACCTTCTTCAATGACAACTCATTCTTATTTCTAGCGGAAAAAGGATACAAAACGACCAGTTTGATTTGCTCCCTCTCCTCACTGTTGTCAATCTTTAATTTACATTTTTAATTATATTAATTTAAATTCACAGTAGCTTCAACAAATTAATTCGTGTTAATCTATTAAAATCTAGAATCTGCCTCTTCTGCACGGTGCCTTATCGCATCCATTGTGAATCCGTACTGAGCAGTAACAGACAAGTTTATCGAGGAAAAACTTTCTACTAATAACAGATAAATTAGCTTGGCGGGAAAAATCCCAAGTATTTTGCATCAGTAGTTCTAATTGTTTCAATGAACATATGAATTTAATAATAAAATCGTTACCTGTACATAGGAAGAAGGGAAAATGCCAATTTGACCATTGTGTTCGCCTTCCATCCAGTTCATATCGATTATGCGATACACCCGTATCACATCGCCACGATTAAATGATAATTCTCTAGAAATTATGAGTTAAATTATCAGCATTTTATAAATCTTACCATTTCAAAGATGATTTTTAGAGGACAGTCGTGGAAACATTTCCAAGTTGACCAGTGAGATTTGATTTGGTTTTATCGCTTTTCAAGATGATAACGCACATGATCCTAATTTTTCCGAAAGATTTTTGCAAGCTAGCCGTTAAGCGCTTTTCATTTAATCCTTCTGTATGTAATGTATATAACATGATTTTAGCATAGTATTTACTGAATAGTCCAGAAAAGATTTTGAAAATAAGGAAGTATTCAAAATTGAAAAAACGAACTTGCACAAAAAGAAAAAAATTAAGAATCGTGAGAGAGATTAAGAAAGAGGGAAAATCGAGATTAAGATTAGGGATGATTAGATTAAAGTATTACTTAGGGCTAACAGCTTTGAAGGAGAAAAGCGCAGTACAAGTTGTAATTTCGGTTTGCGGTAATGTTTGAGGTGTGGTAGCACGTTCTGAGCGTCCAAATTCGTTAATCAGTCCACTAAAGCGATCGAAATTTTTCTGAAGGGCTGGAGAAGCAGAAGGTCTGAAAATGTTAACCCCTTCACTGGTTATAAATCTAATGAGATATCTCCCTAACAAATAATCAGAAGCGCATCAAGGATATCCTTAAATTTGATCACTACCAAATTTAAGGAATCATATCATTAATTTCCACTTAAATCAATCCATCCATTCTTATTACCACGACATACATAACATTAATAATCAAATTATCAACTGTAGTTATTGGAAACAACAGATCTCAGACAATGGAAATAAGCTGATCCAAACATCGTAAACATAAATAGCTAAAAGATGACCTTTAACACGATCATAATTGGTAGCTATTTGATCATTATTCATGAAATAGAGCCTAACCTATTTGATACTTCATGCGACCAAAACTAAAAACGTGTTAATACTAAATAAAGAGTCACCACTTCATAAAGTGCAGCAGTTCTAACTGAGCATATTGAAAATATTAGCGAAAGATCAGTAATAACTAACACATATCCATGCCGCCGATTTCGCTGTTGTTGCAATTCTTCGGAAAGTTTTTCAACTTTCTGTCGAATGAGAACTTCATATTTTGCAAGCTTTTTTATCTCGGCCAGTTTACCAGATGACTGACCATCCAGTTTTTTTCTATCTAACAAATACTACGCTTAAAATGAGACAAAAAACACCAATATTTAAAAATGAAAAACAGGAAAACATCTGACTACTGATAGATAGATTGCTTTCGTGATCCTTAATATCTAACAAAATTTTCAACACCGTGTTCTCTTCTAAACAACTACGATGAAAACGTAGGTAAGAATGAAGGGTTTGTCGGTGTTAATTTCAATTCTAATGTGAAAATTGAATTAAACATTTCAAATGAAAGTTCAAAATATCATTCATGTTAAGTGTTAAGTAGTAATGCAGAGCGCAAAAGGATCCAAATATGTAAGTTGGACGTAGTAACGATAACAGAAGCAGAGACAACAGCCAGATAAGATAGCAACATTTCAAACAATAGGTAAATTAGACGGAAAGATTTGACAGCCGGCTTCAGTTTCGTAGTCCTGCTACAATGCTAGACATTTCCAAAGTTCGAGCAACATCAAAATATGCGGCAGTATTTCTGCTTTTTGTGCAATTTACATTACTATCAAATAATTCCAGAGAATCGAATCAATAGAATAAGGATTGAATAGAGGGGCAAGTGATGGAGGTAATAGAAATATTAGAGATCGGTTTGTATATTCAACGATTACTTTAAGACGATAAAAACATTAGTAAGCTTATTTAAAGAAATGCAACATTTGAAATTCCTCTTCATTTCGCTTTAAATTCAAAGTTGATGAAAAAATTACTGCATCCCATTCTATCTTTCTGATATTACACTTATCTTCATTATGGGTTGTTCTTCAGAAGAAACTTCGAAAACTTCGAAACTTCACGACAGTTATTTATCTAAAATCCATTCTCCATTTCACACAGGTTAAGTAGCGGAATTCAAATGTGTTAACTAAATAGGAAGAGACACACCTGTGTTGGTATAAGGTGAGCAAAACGAACAGAGAGCTGTTGTTAAATTGGTGAGGTGTTTGTGGATGCAGTAATGGTTAGATGTAGAAAGCGATGTTGGTGATACGCTGTCACTTGTGCTTCTTCTCCTGCTGCTGTTGCTACTAGTAGTTCCACAAGCTTCAAGGCAGTCAACTAAACTTCGTAAATACATAACGGACTGGTCTAGGCGTTCTCCGATTGCTGTTGATTTGACAATTTTACTTAATTGCTCGGTGAACGATTCCATATGAATTCCCTTCTTGTCCAATGTTTTATAGAGATATTCAATCTCACTCCATGATAAACTATGACAAGGCAAATCACAATATAAACATTTCGAGGGAGATTTTGTTAGTAAAGCAGATATCACCGCTGGACAGCCCTCTGCTCGCTTACAGCCCTGCTGAAACCGATACGGTGGTAAATGGAAATGCTGAGTTTTGGAGCGCTGTTGAGCAAAACAGTTAGTGGTATAATGATGATGCGATGATGGACAACAGGATGCAGCACCTAACTCATGGCGCCATCCAGATTCCCATTCCTCAGGTTCGTGATTGAGATATTCTGACGGCCGCTGGTATAGTTGCTCCAGTCCACTTTGGCTTTCTACATAACGCCCAACACTTCTGCTGCGTCTCGATTGCAACTCATAGTTTCTGAGTGAATTTCCTTGGTTATCACGTTGAGGATTCGGGGTCCAAGATCCTGTAACATATGATTTACCATTCTGCGCGTAGAGGGAAGAGTTATCACAAGAATATAAAGAGAATAAAGGATAGTTTTCTTTTTTTTCTTATTACAAGAATAAATGTCAAACATCAAGAATCTGTGTGTAAAAATTCTTGCTTTCTAGAAATAGAACGGAAGTGGAAATTCACTTACGGTTTATTCGCTGCACGGCTGACACTGGAGTTGAGAGTTTTCTTTGCGGGTACCTCAGCACTGAAGGGTCTGAATAATTTTCCATGAATGTGACTTTGAGCAAACTAAGAAACGAAAGATCAACATATCAAAAGAAGAACGAAACCTATTATACTTTATTTATCAAGCATAACCCACTCATTCTGAAAATGACAAATGAAAAGTCTGTTCAATGAATCTATCTTATTGCTAAAGCTATGAAAATAAAAAGGAGAATGTATAACTAATATAGGTACATTTCCCATCTCTAAATCTTCATTAGCACACTCAACTAAATTTTATCGAAACAACAGGAAAATAAAGTAGTTTATGCATACATTTATTATGGATAATATTGCGCTTTTTTAGTGCGAAGGAAATGGCGTGCTTTCCAGTGATTATCATTTTCTTTTTTTTTTTTTTTGTAGTTTTACAGAATTATGTTAAGGGAAGAATGATTTTACATGAACAAAATTTCAAATTATTTTTAGAATTATAAAGCAAATTTTCAAATTTTGGAGAGAAAAAAGTGGGATGGAAACAAAAAACTGAATTTTTTTTTGGTAAAAAAGTGACCTACTATCTCTAATCAGCTGTGCAATAGACGACATTGAACACAAAACGTTATGACATGCTGCAACTAATATGATAATGATTGTCTCCTGGATTTAGTTGACACAACATTCATGCAAGCCATGTTTTAACAGTATGAGCAAATAGCGTAAATGTGATTCTTTTCTTTTGTGAGATCATGTGGAAATTTCAGCTTCCTCTTTTTCAAAACATTTTGCAGAATTTTTCCAATTTTATTATTAATGATAGTGATGAAACAATGAAGAAAAAAATAGCAGTGATAGTATTGGCTGTGGTTAGCGGTTATCAATAACAATAATGTAACACTGCCTGTCGTTCGTTCCTCTCGAATGAATTCTGGAAGTTCGCCACAAAAACAAATATTTGGAGAGCGCTTATAACTTATCCAACTGGGAAATGATCCTCTCTGGTGTGGACACACTCATACAAACACACACGCATACACATATATATATATATATATATACATACATACATACATACACACATACACATATAAACACACATACACCTCTTTTAGAAACAATGACTGGTGAGGGACAAACTGCTCAGATGGTATACGTCCAGCATTCTTCCGTTTTGCTCAAATATCAAGAGGAAGAGTAGAGTGAGCTGGGATGAAAGCGAACTTCCTTATCTCTCCTAATCATTCTAGCGCAGTTTATTCCCGGAATTGTGCTATTTGATGTGCTTGAGGTGGTCGGCGAAAGACCTGTCCACTCAAAGTGAACATCCCTCTTCCCCTTACTCCATATATAGCTGTATAATCGGTGAATAACCTACGACTCAACTATGACATAGTGAAACAGTTGAAAAAGAATTAGATTTGGAAATATGATGCAAAAAGCTTGTAGATTTATGCAAAATTACAGAGGAAGATTCGTCATGATTTTAAAACATCAATATCAGAATAATAGATTTTATCGTGCTCATTTTGTTCGATTATGACAATAAAGAGAATTGGAATGATTTACTCGGCAAATAAATACACGTCAAGCGAGCCTTGTCGATAATGTTAGAATAGTACAATCGGAACTCGAAACTTTCATTACAGCTAAATTTTATGCTGCTGGTCATTAGTATTTTGGGTTGAGATTCATTTATCTTGCGCTTAAGTGAGGGATAGAAGGACATACTATCAATAATTTATAGAAGTAGCTATAAAAATTGCCAAATTGATTTTCAGATCAATGATTAGGATCCGAACCACCTCAATTCCATAGTCTACAATGTAACACTTAGTCAATATGTAGTCCTTTATTAGACTCATTAATCCTTAACTTCTGAATTAATCTAAGCAATGAGGTTCCAGCAACAACCGATGAACCTACAAAAGGCATAGTTCATGGGGGCAATAAATCGGATGGTGAAGTTATATTGTGTAGTTGATCCTGAATTTGTTTACTGAAGGTTGAATGTAAACATCCCTCGAAAGTAGTGAAACTGGATTATAGTTCAGACAAATCCTATGAAATCAGACGTAAAATTCAATCATTGTTTTAAATCTCTATCAACCTCAGCTCCTAAAAATGACAGAAGCGTTGCAATTATCAGTAAGTAAGCATTATAATTACCAATTTTTTGGGAAAATAACAGCTTGACTAAGTCTAATTCTCTAACATTCGCGCCGCACTATATCTTATCGTAATTAATATTATCGCCTATAATCAGTAAAAAAGTATTTTAAGAACACTTGGTAATGAGATGAGAAGCTTATTGTAAAAGCAGTTGCAAAGACTAAATAGTTAGAGAAATATGCGGGTAAACAAATCGGTTGCGTAACAAATAAAATTCATTCTTGTATTTTTTTTTTCAGCAAAAAAAACGAAAGGTTTAATTGCTGCGGTGCAAATAAACTACACATGGCCATGGTAATTAATACATGTAAGCCTAAGGAAGGACGTGGTACGAGTGTTCGAATGGCTACGTAGCATTTCATAGTATAAGAGTGTAGCTAGGCTAAGTGTCATGAAGCATAGCTAGGAGATATAAGCACTTGGGAGACGCATTTCTGCCATTGGACACAGACACTGACATTTGCACACCACTCATTCCGCATATAAAAAGGGATAGTAGAAAAGCAGAACTTATCTTTGAAAACTTTCTTTTTTTGTTCGCTTTTCGAAAAACACCGGTGGCATTTCAATTATTTCCATTTGTTTCAGTTCTGGAGCAATTTCAGTATTAGTAGTATATCTTGGTTAGTTCAATTCTATGTAGCAACAGTATTACAGAAAACTGTATAATAGGATGAACAAGCAACAGCGAGATGAGCGATTCAGTTTCAGACACGTATGTGACCAATGGACAGCAACGAAGACCGGCAGCATACTATCAACAGTGATGGAAAGATGATTATTTGCAAACATGAACAGACAATTGCAAGCAAATCCAATGACATTTGTGAAAGATGATAGCACCGCGAAGGTCCTGAATCCCTTAGTAAGTTGGCAAAATTTAATTTTTTAAAATTACAGATTCTTGTTGGGAAATAAACCTAGTAATTTGTTTTCACGAAGGATTATTTAAGATTGTAAGTAATCATGAAGCAACTTGCCCAACTGATTGACTACATGCATTTTCTTGAACATGGTGCGATACCAACTTGAATTTTCAGTATGAGCATCATGACGAGGTATAGTACCTGAAGTACTATTAAGTTCCCGTTCCGGTGCAGAGAGGTGGCTGTTGCAAGTCTTTAATATATCGTTGGCTCCTTGATTTTGTTCTGATTGCAGCTGGTGGAGATGACCACTTTTTGATTGCATTTTCGTCCTCAACTCTATTGGTTTCCAGAACGACAGGATTTCACATGGTGGTGTTGACGCTGCTACTATTGATGAAGATGAAGCACTAAATTGGCTTCCTACTTTCTGAACGATATCGGTCCTAAAATTTTTTGCTGGAACAATATCATCGATGCAGCATTTGATTGATGGAGGTATTTCCAAATTCCTAATAGCCATCTCATTTCTATCTGTATTGTGACCATTAATGACGAATGGTAGTGGATTCTGTATTTGTGGGACGGTGATGGCATTTTCACTAACAGTGCTACGACGGAAACTATCATTAACAATGGATGATGTTTTTGAAGGCAAAGAAGATTGTGGACGATCGTCGACTCTCTGTTTGACAGGTTTCAATTTTTGGTAATCGTTTAATTGGCTGGATCCTGCCATGTCATCGGCTGAGGAACAAGTGTAATCGTTGTTCTCCTCGTGCTTGTGGATGATTGCTGATGGTGAAAATGCATCCGAAGAAGAGGAAGTCGGTACGACCGACGTACTGTTGGAACCAATATTGAGCATATTCGGTGAGACGACAACTGAAGAGGAAAGGGTCACTGTACGATTGAATGATACCGGAGTTATGCAGGATGTATGCCGCTCTACCGGTTCATGTACAACAGATAACTGTTTCTGTGGTGCTCTGTAATTGGATGGTTGGGGATTGTTGCTAGGTTTTGATGTCTTCATTGTCAGATGCTGCAAATTCGATGGGTCATCGTGCTGTGGAACATATGAACATTGCCCGTTCGAATCGGAAACCCATAATGACGATCTCGTGCGGCCATTACTCATTGTCATAGCTCCACTTGGAGGTGGTGGAGTAGATGGCATTTTAACCTCCAATTTCCTGGCAATTTGCTCACGAAGCGAAGCAACCGACTGGGGTTTCGGTATTTCAATGACGCCTTCTGCCCTTAGCGTCACCGAATTTCTGTTACCACCATCTCTTGCTTCGGTCCGCAACGTCCACTTTGTCCCACGAGATGAAGACCCGTTTTTTGGCTTAACTTGTATTCCTGACGGTGGAGGTGGAGGTGGTGGTGGTGTCGTAGGAAGCCTAGGCGGTATTGTTCTGATCATCATCTGCAAATAGAAACAAGTATTACAACGGTACTGTCAATATATTATACACTCTCACTCCCTTGTGAACACAAAAATTACATCAAGCTGAGTTAAAGCAAAATTTCCTAATCTCTATTCCATCGATCTTTGCTATTAAAGCCATTTCCTAATTTATTGTTTATTTTGTAACCTATAGAGCTATGTCAAGTGGAAACAAATATTTACGGAACTTTATTGAACCGGAAAAAAATCCGCAGATTCAGAGATCAGATTAATTCATATCTCTAACTTATAAAGCATAGAAGGAGCTATTCTGAATAAATTACCCAAAAAGGTGAATGCAAACAAATATAAGAAAAGCTTACTCATCTCGTTCTAGAAATTTTGAAGGGAAATGTGTTAACATTCACCAACAGAAAAGTACATTAATAGTTTGAAGAAGAAAGTAATTGCTATCACAATAACTAAAGGAAAGAGGATTAATGGTGTTCTTTACAGAGTTTATTAAATTATTTCAAATTCCATTACATTTTTTGAATTTTTTTTTCATTTAGCACTGAATTTCACACCATCTACATCGATAATACTTGATAATATGTCAAGTATTGAGAATTGAAACCGGTTTTCAGCACTTCTGCGTCCACCTGTAAACGTTACCCTTGTTTGTTCTTACTTACAATTAACACATAATTTATAATTTATTTGTTCTTACTTACAACTAACACACAACGGATCTTTTTACTTTTAACTTTTTTACTGGTGATTTTCCTGTTTACTGCTTCATTCCCTTTCTCCATATTTAAAAAATGGTGAAACATAAACCACAATTAATACTTCTCAATCTCCATTCCGCAATAAACTTATAGTTTGGAAACTTGGTTACCCCAAATTAGAAAAATTTAGTCCTAATAGCTTTTAAAAGTTTTATACTTCCTCCTCATCACTACACAGAAAATCGCAAAATATTGCAGTATATGGTGAAAGTTTGGGAGTTCTGCATTTAAAACTGTTGGGAATTCGAAATACGTCTAACTTTCCATTACAAAACATGTTCAGCTTTGTCTTTATTAGTTTTGATGAATTTGTTGATGACAAAAATGGAAGAAAACAACGATTATTGGTAATACGGAGGAGCAACGAAAATTATACATCCACACCCATTGTTCACTCATTCCACAACTCTCTAAACCTCGAACAGTCTCATTGTGTATTTGATTAGCCATGAAAGTGGAGTACATTGAAATTGATGCGAATCTCCAAAACACATAAAAAATATCCTGACCAGTGACCCTTGTTAAACTTATCAATATCAATTGTAGAATTCATAGTAACACTGTTGTTTTAAATGTTATTGTCAATTTCATGCGTAACGGCGGGAGTGGAAATATTTACGTTATTTTTAAACAGAGATGCAATTTTATTAGTTTTTTTNTTTTTTTTTTATGAGACAAATTGTTCAGGATTCTCTGAATTTACGTTCCTATTCTACAGTAACAGGACAAATAATATCAACAATAAAGAAATTCGAAAAGAAAATGGAACATAAATAGGTATTCCATTTGAATTTGATTCAAACTAAATATTTCCGGGAAACTACAAGTATTGCAGCACTAAAATGCGTGGAACAGCTTTTATATTTCTAAATGATCCTTTAACATTTTTAAATTCAACGAAAAAATTACCGGAAATTGATTCCAGAATATCGTCGTTCCAGTTCAATAAATTAGAAGTACAATGATAAGTGACAGAGTATTTCAGAAAGTGTTGGAGAAGAGCAACTTCTTAGCTTGTTTTAAACTTTAAGGAGTATACTCTACTACTGACTAGCTGCTCGTAAACTACAACCAAGTCTGTAGATCAAGATTTGGGTAGGGATTTAGAGTTCATGAGTCTTTAAAATAACTGTTTAGCAACTTAAACAGTCCGAGTTGAGAGACCAGACAGGATAAACATATGGACTGGAAGACTCACAAATGAACAGACAGACTGACGTATATAACAATAAAGCAAAAATTTACCTCCTCATTTCGAAATTCTGGTTTTTCTGCGATTTCTTCCTGTTCATCGGAAGCCTGAAAGTTGATTTGTTAGTTGAACGCAACATTTAACATTTTCTAAAATGTATGATATAGGGGAAGCGTAAGTGTATTTGAGCAAGCTATTTTGAAAGCTAATTGAAAATTTTGATACAAATATTACTATGTTTGTGAATGAAGAAGATGAGAATATTTATTAACTTTGATATTCTTCAAAAGTATGAGATGACACATTCATTCATGAATGGTACGACTGATTACTACATATTTGCAAATAATTGTAATGGAACAGAAAGTTAAAATTTCATTAGAAACAAAAAAAGAATAAAAAAGAAAAGCGAAAGGAACTGACAAAAGAATCGGAAATGAAGCCGCTAGGAAAATGTTGTTAGAAATAATTTTAAATATTATATTTCTTTTTCTTTTATGTACTTTAAAGCTCGCTATTGCTATTGCTGCAACGAACATTTTGTTTTATGATTGATGGAAATGCGTAAGGAAGCAAAAAGTGTTTAATGGATTTCAAGTTAGCCTTCCTGTATTCCATCTTTTTTCTTTTTTCTTTCTTTCTATACCTTCCAAAAAAGAAACATATGCACATTTAATTATAATCGGAACATTTCCAACAAATCATAAAATCAATGGGGATGGATGAAAGAAATTGACAGTATTAGTTGGAGAAAAATGAATGATCACAACTATCAAATCAGCTAGTTGCTTACTTACATGCTTAGTTTTTTTTAATTAAAGTAGTAAAATCATCTCTAGCAGTACTTTCCAAGTTTAGAAAGAAGAAAGAAGAGAGCATCCGAATATTAATGAAATTGGTACAGCATGCCGAAACTAGCACAGTGAGGCTAATTCGGTCTCTTTCATACAGCTTGCTCAATTTTAGAAATCTAATAAGAAATTTTGCTGATTTCAAAATAGCCATATAATTTTAGCAGTTTCTGTCGCTTCATCTTATAATAAATGGATGAATTTTCTGCATTGCATTAATACATCTTTCCGGAATGCATAAATTCGGATTTGGTTTTCATCACAGTTTGCATGTGATCGAAAGGAAACTGCGGAACAAAACTTCACATACATGCCAAACCTTAGGCTCATGCATCGATAACTTCACTAAATCATTTTAAACCATTACTTATTGCGACTTATGATGAATTATATAATAGTCGCCTAAATGAATCATACATCCGAATGAAATTCATAAGTTTATATAAATAATATAACAATTAAATAAGAAAAGTTCAGATCAAAGACTACTACTCGGAGCTTTTTTGATGATGCAAATTGTACAAATTCATGTTATTTGGATGATTAAAAGTGAAAAAAAAGAAGAGCGGAATGCTGAGAAAAAAAGCAAAAAAAAAGGACAGCTTGAAATAAAAACTTGAGAATTTAGAAAGTTAAAACATACCGGATATGCTGCTGATAAAAACTTGTCAAATGAATTAGGTGAAAGCAGATTATTATCTGGATTTTTAGGAAGAGGAATAATATTGAATTCAGGATCACATCCGGTTTCATACACAGAAGATGGCGAACGTAAAGATGCTGGGAACAATTGCCCGAATGAAGTTGCTGGTATTGCCATTGATGTAGCTGTTGTTACCAATGGGAGTGCTGCAGTCCGCGATTAGCTTTAGTTACTTCTTTAGCTTTCTTGCAAACTTAAAATCTCTCTCTAATTGCTTTCACACAGGAACGATAAATATACGCTTTACACAGGACATCGTTTCCCAGTCACTGCTACTTAACAGATCAGTTCATCATCATCTCATTATCATGCCATATTGGATAGACTTTAAAGCAACTTCAAAATTAGATGCTTAATTTACATTAAATTCTTGAATTATTCTAGTTCAAGTCTCAAACTTTGTTTAAGATGCCGTCCAAATTATTATTATAATGAGCCTATTTTCAACACCTTATACCCATCACTTATGTATAATTTATTTGTCCATCTTTTTTTCTCCATTAATAAATTCTTTGTCTTTTTTTTTTTGTAATTATAACAAGCTCAATAAAACTTTCAAATGCTGTTGATGGTATGCATGGAAATATGAGTCAGTACTTGGTAACGTAACTACCATTATTTATCAAACGGTATCTCAGATTAGAGAAAAGTTTCTAAAAACTATTTGATCAATAAAACTGACCTGTCAGATTTTCTGGTAAAAAATAGCTTTTTTCGGTGAAACCACTGCTGAAAGTAGATATTTTCAAAAAGTGAATATAAATTAAGCAAGCTTATAAATATTTGGTATCCAACATGACACATAGTCATGTAAATAAATGGTTGAAACAGACAAGCGACTGATGATGGAATGCGGTCGAGACACTATTTTTCAGTTACATAAACATTGCATTCGTTTGTAATAGTACGATCACTTCAGATTCTCCAACTTGAACAATGCTACTACAACTCATCGCCTTTTTGACATTTGATAAAGAATAACATAATCTGAAGCATTAAACGTCAAGCAGAGTATTTTACCTACCAAGAGATAAACAGATTCATTTAAATAAATTGAAGCGCATGAGTTCTGTCTGCAAAGATAAATAGAGGTATGGATGGATATTTGTACATCGTAAAATTATGCAATTGTCTTACTAAGACACATACAAAAACAGTTACGAGTTTCTGCCTCCAAATCCGTTTGCGTATAATTCTGGAAGTATTACTGTGTATCTCGATGCTGATTGTCCTCCGGTATCTGTAGTTGACTGAGTGAAACTGACAAAATTTTCTCCAGTAGAGTCGTACACGGAAATGTGGGGACCTTGATCGTTAGACCACAGAGATGGTAATTCGTATTCAGTTTTTTGATAAAGTTGGTCTATATCTGTGGGAACATGAAATATTTTCCGGCCTGCTAGCATTTCAAAGAATTGTCTCTTACCGCAAACTGAACACATATATCAGCTATTTCATCTAATTCTTATCAATCACTAAGTCACTGCCTATCCTTCAAAATAAAATCATGCCGAAATTCCGGTTCCAACCAAAGCTTAGTTCCATGTTGTTAAATACGATGGCGTCATCTCGAATTCAAGAATGGTAAGTCCTTAAACGCCCACAAATATCTCCAAAATACTTCTGTCATCAAAAAGTAGTGAAAATCTATAAAAATTCAGTTCTATATCTTCTTTATCCTTAGTTAAAACTGACCATTATGTCCATTAATGCTCATGAAATTAGAAGGATGTATAGGTAATATTTCTGACGGCGAATAACTTCTGTACATTCTTGAAGATAGTACAGGTTTATCGTCAAGTTTTACTGGCATTGCTGCTCCTAGTGCATTGAAATGGTTACTAGTTGCTTTGGCAAGATTCCGAACCACCAAATTTAAATGCTGCAGCACTTCCTTAAACTGCCGGTTTCCCTGATACTGAAGGCAGGTGTCCAAGATGTTTATTTTCTGTTAGCACGGATCTTCTGAAGTTGATTTACAATTGATTTTTGCTTAAATGGATAGTGCATTGAAAATAAAATCTAAGACAAGATACTAAACTTTCCGTCATTGAAATTCAGTGAGATATTGCAAATTACTTAAAACTGCTACTTTCAAACGTTTTACTATAAAACTAATCAAATAGAACAGATCAGGAACAGGTACCATTCCTTCTAAATTGATCAAATATGTGTACTAGCAAGAATGAATAGACAGGGAGAATCACTTAAAATAAGTAATTTCAATCTAATAAGAAATAGTCGGCAGAAAAAAGCTAAATGAAATAAATGAACGAGCAATTTTATTAATGAAAAAGAAGAAAAACAAGTCGGATTATACGTACGACCAGTAGTATCACAATGCGATTAAACCGGATATTAATCAAGAAGAAATAATGCTTTTCGTACACATTTTGTTACAACGTGGAAAATCATCTGGAAATTCGCAAGCAACTAAGATTTTTTTTAAAAAAAGTGCAACTATAAATTCAATTCAACTACCTTCTCTCGTACCAAGTCTAATCTGCACACATTACCGCGGGTGTGAAAATGCTAATAACAGTACGACATGATAGCGGAAGCTTGGAAAGTGCCAAGATATGTAAGTACCAGAACTACGGGCAAATGGTGAAAACGATCAATATCGTGAATTTTTTTCCGGATGTTTACGTGTAGCCGTGTTTGGGATATAGTTAGGGCAGCATATGAAAACTTTCTACATTCAATGACAAGATAGTCCTGAACAGCTATTGAATGTCGATGAACAAGTGATGTTGGACAAAGATCACTAAAGCACATTTGGCCTCTTAATTCAGAGTTAGACTGGATAATCGCCAGTGAAATCAGCAATCGTCTGCTACGTCTTCTGTATTATACATTTCAACAAACTATGTAACAATAATTAAAGAGGACAATTTCTGATAATTCCTAAACTTTGGCCATTTTTTTTAAACTGACTTTTTGTTGACCTGGCAACCTAATTCAGGAAAACGGAACCTCTAGAGAACGAAAATGTCCATGATTGCTTGAAAGAAAAACATGAGATGAACACCTGCATCAGTCATCCGATAAGACTGTGACAAATAACTTAGTACTTCTTTAATTATGACTTACATACTTGAAGAGAAGGAGAGAAGATTCACGCATATTAATTTCGTGAAGATAATAGGAATGCATAAGTGTATTAATGCATAATTTATGAGTCATTGGACAATATGTCAGCTATGCTTTCATTCTAGCGAGGAAGTGGAAAAACATTGAATAGCATTTTTAGGAAGGACCATACTGTACAGTGATATATCAAAGGTTGAGTGATGATATCAAAGAGAGGTATATGAACAGATGAAAGAGATGGAGCAAAACGAGTAGAAGCAGACGAATAGAAGACATATTTCAATCATTTTAATAAGCAGCCTCATCTAAATAAATTTAATTGCTTGCCATATTTTTTCGCCTAATACATTTTTACTTCAGCATAAAATGTAAGTTAAACTATTGGAATTACTGGAAAGATTCGGAAAACTTGCTCTTGATCTGTCTAGGTTGAAAGCCTCTAAATACCGTATCGCGATCATGCAACTAGATATCACTAAAAAGTGTTGAAGGAGATTTTCAGAACTCTTAGATGTGATGGATGATATTTGCTGAAAGACCACGAAAGACGAATCACCTGATGAAACGAAGTCGAAGTACACCTCGTGCGCCCCGTATCTTAGCATTGAGCATTTTTTAACTAGTGCAATTTTGCCCGTTGACAGTTTCTACGATGTCACCAATTCGTACACCTTCTTGTTCACCTCGTCCATTGGGCAATACCTTAAATTTATGTTAAATTTTTATTACTTAAAAAATTCACCTAATAGGACGAATATGCACAGTAAACATATTTCATGTGATTGATGCAAAACTGAAAAGTTTTGAAATGAGTTAGAATATGCCGATTAATAGATCGGCTTGGTAAATGAGACTTACAATAAAGCATTTTGCCTCTCTAGGAAAATCTGATTGAGCTTTTGTAAGCAGAACCGAACTCAAAGACCTCTGTTAGTGAAAATTTCAGTTCAGCCATTTCATCAGTTTGTTGAATATGATAAAATGAGCCAAAGAAATAAAAATTCACGATGTGATGATAATTACTTTCACAATTTCTAAATGGCGCTTTACTAGTTCTTTGTGGATACACAAACTTCATCTACTCTTCACCGTCAATCCATAAAAGTTATTTAAATCCTTATCATTCGAATTGCAACCCGTATTACTGGTATCGTGTGCTTTTACTGTAACGTAAGAATTCAAAAAAGTATTGTGTGACGCGTACAGAATAAGCGCATAAAGTATGCTAATAGCATTTGGTTTCAGCAAGTATCATGAAGAGACCGTTATTCCGATGAGATATTCAAGTATAAGCTCATATACAAATGTAATGGAATTTAGACAATTTAAATTTAAAGAATTTCTTGAAGTATAAAGTTCCTAAGGTATAATGATCTGCATGCTGAATTACGCGTCCCATTAAGAAGTATGAATGACATACAAAAAAAAAAAAAACTAACCATTTTTCCCAGCAACAGCTATAATATGAAAATTGTAGACAGATAAGCATTTGTATATGGACATGAATGGTTATGATCGGATAAATGAAAAATTTATCGAAAATTAATTTGAATTTAGACGAAAATGACAGTTATTTAAAGTAATTGTCACTTCTTCTGTGTGAATAAATTGTAAAAAGTTTGCATATATTTTTTCGGTTTGATTAGATTCAGTTATAACATTCATAAGGTATGCCTTTTATTGCTTTTCTTAGAAGCACATTTGAGCATTCTGTAATGATGCG